AAAAAAAACGGTAGCACAGTAGGGACGTGGCATAGTTGGGTCAAGTTGAGATGATTTCTGACAGTGATTATAATATCATTAACGCTTTGATGCAAATCTGTAGATAGTGTTTAATTTTAAGAAATTGGTGGTTTATTCTAAAAGCAAAGAAAACTAAATTTTTGTTCTACTTCGACTCCCATTTGCACATAGAAAATAGGTCTTCAGTACAAATTTTTTTTTTTTGAAATACAAGTATCTAAAATAAGCTTTATTTTAACATATATTTAAAAGACACAGTATTCCCTAAACATTTTCAAGAATTAAGTTGAAAATGTTCTACTTTTAAACAAATTTTTATGATTTCAAAAATTCAAAAAAGCTTTTCTTAACTTTGATGAGGCAAAATAAGTATAAATTTATAATTAATGTAAGTTAGATTCATGTAAATTATATATTTATTGGTGGACTCATTACTATGGCAAACCCTTATAAGGTATTTTGAAATAAACAAAAAAAATTTGAATTTTAACACAAAAGTAACATATGGTTTAACTACGGCAGCCATTTGTACGTAAAAAATAGGACTTTGGTACAAATTTTTTTTTTTAATTTATAGTACGTAACATAAATTTTAATTTGACATATGTTTAAAAGATGCAGTATTTCTGAAACATTTTCAAAATTTAAGTTAAAAAAGTTGCTATTTTGAATCCCCTCTTGTGACATGTAAAGGGTCAGATTTTCAAAAATATTATATCAAATAAAAGGGAATTACTTAATATTTCAATATAAAATTTAATTATTTTGATTTGTTCATTTTTCAATTCAAGTTATGGGAATTTTTAGAAAAAATAATGAACGTGATGTCGACATTATTAATTTTAAAAAACGTCATTTTTTAAGAGATTTCCATCATTTGCGGGGAACAAAGGAAAAGTTTTTGATTTTTCAAGGTAATGTCTTAAACTAAATACGATTTGTGATGTTTTAACGGATCGTTGAGTAAAATCGGTCCAGTGATAGCTGAAAAAAAGTAGTGACAGACACAAAAAAATAAACATATCATGGTAAAATTAATACCTTCTCAGCTTTGCATCGAAGCTAAAAATATATATAATTAAGCTGCTAAATTAAAATAATTGAATTCAAACATAAGTTAAACTCTTTATATTTATTTATATTATGGATGTTGTTTAATTGATTAAAATAGTATTAACACTAAATCAACTATTTTAATAATTGTTATAGCCAATTCTAACAAAGAATGAAAATTTCAAGGATAATTTATCAGTTGCTAAAGAAAATGGAGAAATATCAACTTCATTACAACAAAAACCTTTACAACAATTGGAAACTCCACAACAAGATTCTACTGTTCAATCCAAACCTTCAAATTTGCAACAGACATCTATTCAATCCTCCACATTTCCACCCACACAATTATTGTCTCAAATGCATCCAGAACATCATTCAATTCAGCAAATACAGACTATTCAGCAATCTTTTCAACAACAGATCCCTGCTCAGCCATCACTACAGCAGCTTTCAATTAATCAAGTGTCACAAGTTCAACAACCTTCACAGCTACCTGATCACCTATCTCAACAACAGAGTTCTTTGCAGCAGCAAACACACCAATCAATTCAATCTTCAACTCAACAAATAGTTCAACAACCACCAACGCCACAATTAGTTCAGTCGCCACAATTAGTTCAGTCACCACAATCTCAACAACCACTACCACTACAACAACAACAAACTGTTCAGCAACAACCACTACCACTACAACAACAAACTGTTCAGCAACAACCACCACCACCATCACAATCAGTCCAGCAACAACAATCACCATTACAATCAATTCAGCAACAACCTCCATCACAATCAATACAGCAACAACAACCAACACTACAATCAATTCAGCAACAACCAACACCATCACAACAGACAGTTCAACAACAAATTTCCGATCCACAACCACTGCAAGAACAACCACAAATGCAACATTCTCAACAACAAGTACCCATTCAGTCACAAATGCCAAATCTGCAGCTACCTTCACAACAAAATGGTACTCAAAATCCAGCTATTCAACAACTTTCACAAAGAATTCTACCTGATCATCAACCATCTCTTCCACAACAAATAAATATACCGCCAGCTCCACAATTGCAACAACCTCCTGTTCAACATACATCAACATTATCTCCAACCCAAACACAATTACAACCAACACAACAGTTGCACCCTCAGCCTCAATTACTTTGTCAGTCACAGTCTCCACCATCATCTCAACCACAATATTCTACACCCACAGAAACACAAACACCTTCAGTAGTGCATCCTCCAATCATACCACCTGCTCAATCTGTCGAAACACATGTTGCTTCAGATTCCACTTCAAATATTGTATCTTCTACAACACAATCACCGCCAAAAAATCCAGAAACACCAACTTTCCCTACACCTAATACACATGTTGCTAATCATATATACCCTACTCCTATACCTCAGTCATTTTCTCAGTTACCTCCATTTCAAACTCCACCAAATGTTCCAGTTTCTTTACCCAATATGTATCCTCCAAATCAAACTCCTAATAACGGAGCTACGCCCAATTATTCACATCCTAATATTATACAACCTCAGCAGCCTCAATCTACTCCATCATCTGCTAATCATCAGTCTAATAATTTCTCTCCGTATCCACAACAGCAACCTTACCCACCACAAGTTTTGCAAACACGACCACCATATGGTTATCCTCCTCAACCATATCCTCAGTATTCACCACATCCATATTATCAAACACCTTATCAACAATATCCACCACCGCCACCACGAATGGCTTTTCCACAGCAAATAGGTTCTGCTAGTCATTCAGATCCAAATCAACCATCTGAAACTAATGCATACAATCAACACCAATCTGTGACTGGTTCACTAGAAAGAAATGATGAAAACAAGCAAACAATTGGTGAAGAAAAACCTGTAGAAGCTGTAATATCAGGTATTTTATGAAAAAGTTTTTAATTATTTTATGCTGAAATCAAACTTTTATTATTTTCTTTATAACATGCTTAAATTAGTTCCACCTGTATGTATGTTTGTAAGTTTGTATATTTGTAACTCTCCACGCGCCATGTGTTATTATTCTCGCTTATCCCGTTGTCTATGGTCTTGAGACTAGACTGTTGTAACGCATTCACCACACTATTCCTGTATAATTTTATTTTTGGTTTTCATACCTGTACATGCGTTTGTCATCAATATTATATAAATATATATATATATAAACAAATTTTTATTGTTTATTATAAGATATAAACATTTGAAGGTTCAAATTTTTTTAAGTTAATATACATGTATAATACATAAGGGATTACAAATACAAGTAGCCAATTGGTTTTTTATGACGATATTCGCAGATATATAGCCTTTATTATTAATAGTAGTAAGACACAATTGTGAGTTTATAAATACACTAACTGCCAATGCAGAAATTATATCTATTGATATTCATAATTGACAATAAACACTCCGTGACTGTGATAGCGATGTCATAAAAAACAAAAAAGTGAAAAATAAATATAGTGTCATCGTTTATAACAAATTAGTATAACTCAGTAATAGTTTGATAAAGTTAATTCTTCGTATATCACAAAAAAAAGTTTGTCAAAATCATTACCATTATGAATAAATGCATCTCATAATTACTTCCCCCATGATTTTTAGTATTTACTTTATAAATAGTACCTTGTAAAAAGTACTCTTAATCAAATTTTGTAATAAAATAGCAATCAATTTTTAAAGTTAAAATCAATTAAGATTACGTTTCTAAAGATAAATATTTAAAAAATAACTTCTAACCCTATACAAAAATTCTATTTATTATGTATAGAATAATATAAATTTTTTTTATCGCTTTATCGGTCCATTAAGGGCCATAGAGGAGGTTTCTTAACCATTTATACTCCAACATGGGTGGTTAGTCCATCTCCGTGGAGAGGGATGGCGACTCCAAAAATTGAACCGATCTCTCATTCAGCAAATGAATCCTGTGACTTTTGAGACCCCAAGTTTCGAACTCAAGGCAATGTGCGTCAATCACTGCTGCGTTGCTGACTCAAGCATACCGTCCCTCTATGTATAGAATAATATGGCTACTTTTTATTCCAAACACAATGTACATATTAAAATATTTTTTTATTCATATACTCATTTAAGAAAATACATTTTTATTCACCGTCATTAAAATAAAGTTTTAATTTTTCTAGCTTCTGAGAAACTTGGTGCAGAAGAAAACTCCGTTGTTGCACCAACTCAACAACAATCTACCAAAAATGATGAAATCTCATAACTAAGGAAGTAGCAGTTTAAAAAAAAAATGTATATATTTTAATCCACTAGAAGTTAAAAGTATATAGATTTAAGTATAAACTTTTTTGACAGTAAAATATTATTAACAAATATTAAAAAATAATATTATGTAAGATAAATGTATTGATTTATTTTTAAGTCGGTATGAATGATTTATTATTACTTAGTATATAATGAATAAAAATAATGGATAAATTTAGTATTTTTTTTATATACCAATGTGCATTCATTACATATAAAGTGATTATATTATTTAGTATTGAAAATATATTCCTCTACTAAGCAAGAATACATAATTTTGTTTTAATTCTAATTAAGAGAAATGAACATTATTATAATGTAATTATTATTGATAATATTACATAAAAAAATAAAGCTTAAAGTATAATTAATAAAATGTATGGAACTTAATGCAACATATTTTCAAATTAAAACATTTTAAACAATTAAATAAGTCTACAATATACAAACAATATTATAATTTGATTAAAAACAAGTAGATCAAAATAAATACTGATAAAATTCATGTATTGAAAATATAAAGTAACCCTTTATATTAATAAACCTTAATTACACAATAAAATAAAAATAGATTAACTTAAAAAAAATATCTGTTTGGCATAAAAAACAAAAAAATTTAACTGTAAGATTCATAAATTACAAAGTAACGTTCTTTATTATAGAACAATATTTTGAACAATCATACATAAAATGCTATAATTAATACATGTTTGAAGACTATATTCTGGTAAATTATAAAAAAATTTCACTTAACTTCAAACATCACCCTGGTTTCATTGTAAGCATATCTTAATGAACTAATTATAAATGAAAAATATTAGTATGATCTTTGAATGTTAAAATAAATTATTGGTAAAACTATTTAAGGGACATTTAGAAATTGGATATAATATCCTATTTTAATTATGAATGAAAATTGTTCTGGTTAACTAATTAAAGCTGATTTAACCATATCAAGAACTTAAAATGTATTTAACTTAATTATAGGAAATTGCCACTTCATTCTTAAATTTACAAAATAGTTACTCCTTTGAACAATTATTTTACACATAATTTAAAACTTTTTTAGTGAAAGTAAACATTTAATCAAAGGTGTATGACCTAACAAAAAATTAGGAAATCACTATTAAGGAGACAGTGTAGTTCTTAACACATTAATAACTATAATAATTTGATAAACTTAGGCAAATTAAATAGTTATTAATTATTAGAATAATTAAATAAATATATATGTGGGTCAAATTATTAACAAATATTTATCTTTCATACAATTTAAAATTACTAACAATAAGCAATTATATATTAAAAAATTAAAAAAAAAAAGAAATTGTTACTTTTACAAGTGTAATAATGGAAAACTTAAATTTTTTTTATTATTAAGGCATTTAAAGGATAAACTATGATAATGATCACCTGTCACAAGTAATTTAGAATTGTTAGTTAGGAATGATTTAGTACCATAAAAAAATCACATATTTGTCAACAATGTCTTAAATTTATAGGACTAGCTCATTATTATGAAGCAAAACAATAAATTAGAAAATTATACCTAAATTAATACATATTAATATGAAACTTTATACATTTACTAATAATTTTTAAAGACAGTCATGGATACTTATTGCCCATAAATTATTAATTGCCGTTTACTAGATATCCAACGAGTGAATACACAAAATACCAAGATCATGGTAATAGTCAACAGTAATAGAAGACTAGCTATAATTGAAACTTCAAAAAAACCCAACCCTCCATTAGGTGGTGCACCAACTCCTGCCAAAAATGTCCTGAAAATGATATTAATTATATTAGTTTACTTAAAAAACTTCTTAGAAAATTAATCTTACCAATAAAGATAATTTGACTTGGAATAAAATCCATCATTAGGTTCTCCAAATGAAATATTTAAAGCTTTCATCATAAATTGTTGTTCAAACAATTGATTACCAAATAAATTAAACAATGTTGACTTGATCCAATCAGTTTGATTTGAATGATCTTCAATACTATATTGTGTAGTAGATGATGAATTAAATGCATGTGTATCATAAGCTTTAAAAACCACTGGTTTCCAAGTCAAATAACCACCTCCTTCCAAATCTTCTCCTTTAGCATCAATTAAATAACTCTTAAAACAAAATATATATGTTAGGTTTTGATAACAAAATTGAAGTAATACTTTAAAGAATTCTGAATAATTAAAATAAGATTACACAAGTGTAAGTATGATAGGAGTTCTAACCAGAACAAAAATTTTGCATGCCCTGCGGCATTAAGTAAATAAAAATTTATAAATAATTTGTATCATAATTATTAAAAAAAAATTATATTTTTAATAAAAATTTTAATTAATAGATATATTTAATTAAAAATATTTTTAACTTACCGAAAACACACCACCAGAACTGCTGTCATCATTGAAAGTCTTAAGGGTCATTTTTTCAGTTGCATTGTAGGGGTATGAACTAAGAGTAAGTAGTTCTACTGCATAACGTGATTTAGGATTATTTAATGTTAAGTGATCAAGAGTAAGTGTTAATTCACTAGATTCAGGTGTATGTATTAAATGAGGAAACATTAGTCCTTTATCTTCTTTTGCATAAACTTTTAACTAAAATAATGGTATATTTATTTAAAATTGAATATAAATAATTATTTTGGAAGAATTCTAACTAAAAAATGTTTTACAATGCTATTATTCATGATAAAGTGACAATTTTTTATGTTAAGCTTTTTAATTAAATTATTATAAATCAAATATTGACCCAATTATGAATTTACTAAAAATGTAGGATTACATTTAAGTTTTAAATAATTTTTATTTTGCTGAATTAATTTTACCATTAATGAATAATATATTATGGGGATGTGTAAAATATATTTTTAACTTACTATTTTTGTTTCTTTTAAAATTAACGAGAAAAAGCATTTATGTACATATAAAAATTTTATTAGAATTTAGAATAATTGAATTAAAAATATTTTTTACTAAATAACACATCAAAAGTCAGTAAATTAATTTTAATAATTATTAAGAAGATAATAGTTAAACCCTTAAAAAGGTATTTAATGAAGTTTCTTACTGTAATTGAAACATTTCCACGCTTGGTTATACCAACATCACGATATAAATTAGATGATATTTTAACATGCACAGTCTCATTATTATCATTTTCCATTAGATTAACAGTCCAATTTTGAAATTTTCTAAAATCCATGGTAAGAAAATTTGATCCATTTTCAAGGCGTGCTGTATCATTTACATCTACATACTCATACAACTAAAAAATATACATTTGTCCAATCAAATTTTATTTAACTAATTTAAAATTATAAGGCTTGGCTAGATAATATGAACTAATTGAATATTTACAGAGAAGTAGTCTGATATAATTTTTATTACTCACATGGGAATAGTCCAGAATATGTGTTTTAAAATAAGAACTTAATTCAACCAAAAATGTTTAATTTTCTAAAGACTAAGCTGTATATTTTTAAATTAGAATAAAAAGTTAGAGATATTATAGAAAAAATCATTTTAGATTACTAAATCAAAAGAAAGTACAATTGTCATGGCTAATTTTTCATAAATTAACTTATAAAAAATGTATAATAATTAACTTGTGAGAAGCATGGTATTAATGCAAATATTATATAAAACTTAAAAGGAAATAATAAATCAATAAATTCTTAACTATTATTAATCAGCTATGAATTACTTACATTATTAAAAACCGTAGCAAAAGTATATAAAGGAACTTCTGAAAATAAAATTGTATTTGCTGTGTTAGATTTCAACTCGTCATAATTAATTTTAATTTCAGAATTTTTATTAGTCTTAGAAATAATCAATGATGGTTTATATGTAAAACCAAATATAAAATGAATTGTGTCATTAGCACCATCAGCTCGGACATAGGCAAGTTTCAATAATTGTGAACAATTTTCTGGGTATGATAAAGGACAACCTGGATTATATTCAACATTTAACTGAAAAATAATTATTTGTTTTAGATTACAAAAAATTAACGTAATTTACTGGAGAAAAATTACCTTTCTTTCACATATTCCCAAAGAAATAGTTATTGCAAAAATTAAAATTAAACTCTGCATTATAATTTAATAAAAATAATTCCTTATAGCTGTTTTTTAAATTTTACACTTATCTCAAACCAAAATTTTACAGTAATATTGGTTTTAAAATTGAAAAAAATATTACATTAATTTGACAAAACTGTGTAAAAAATGTTGATCTTTGTTTTCCTGAAGCTCTATTAATAATTGTATTGTGTTTACTCATCCGATTGGAATTGTAACCGTCATTGGGCGACGATAATGGTAACAGTCTATAGATAATATATATATGTAGTGCTTTAGGAACAGTGAACAATTGAAAACAGACTGTTAACCGAAGTTCTGGGAATTTATGTTTACATACAACAAAAACAAATATTGTACAGTTGTCTACACTGGATATTCATTTATTTCAACTGTTACGTTATCATTGTGACTTAAATGATAATTCCGGTAATTCCTGAAATTTAAAATGTGTAATTTTTCAAACCTTAGAAGTTTGTTGTTTTAAGTTAAGTAAAAAAAAAATTTAACGTGTATTAAAAATCGTTTTACTATGAATTGACTCAGTAAGTTGCTATTCGATTTCATAATTAATTTAATTTGTCATTTAGCCTATGATTTAGTATGAGAAACACGTAAACTTTTATTTTAGATAAATCTCTTTAAACCTTTTTTGGTCGTTGATAGATTTTATTACATGCTTTAAATCTGGATGAACATACTGCAATGTTAGCCGCCACAAACCCACAAGTAAATTATTAAATTCTTAATATTTTCCTTAATATTAAGGTGATTAACCTTATAAAATATTTTCATTTTTTTTTTCAGTTATAACTATTTAATTGTTATTATCTTCAATATTTAATTTTTTTTCCTCTTTAAAATGTTAAAATTATAAATATTATTATTTTAGGTTTTTATACCTTTTGGGCGGCAACATGTCAAAAATAGATATATAGGTGAAGTAACTACACCATCAGTTGGTTACTATGACCGACCAGAGCTTCATTCTGATGAGTTTTTGCTAAAAAACACTAAGCTATTAGAGATAAATGAATCTCATAAAAAAAATGTAAGTAATGAAATAATTTAATGAATCCATAATTTACTTAATATTGAGCCTTGTGGTTAAAGCATTATTCTTAAATTAAAAATAAAATTTCACTAAAAATGTAGAAGAAATATTTGTAACTATTACTAAATATTGGTTGTAAATTTTTCATCTTAAATTTTATTATGTGATATTTATAGAAAGAAAGTTTTGTATTAAGAGAAAAAGATGGAGCTGAAGAAGAATTGTATGTTAATGGAAAAATAGTTGTGCACAGTAGAGGTAATACATTGAAATCAATTGCAGATAAAGATGATTATTCTCCAAGTAGTCGAACACTTATTTGTACCTATACTATGGAAACTAATGTTAGTCATGCACTATGGACCATATTTAATATATCACCTGAAGATAAATGCAATGAAAAAAATTCTAAAGGTTGTCATAATAATATTTAGTTAAAAATAAAATGATTTGTTCATTAAAACTACAAATTCCTCAAAAAATAAATTATAATCAAAATTATGTTAATTTTTTTTTTTCAATTATTCAGGCAAATTGGTTCCATGTATTTGTATTGTTGATGCAAAAAAAATTAGCTTATTTGCTGAGGGAGGAGATGTGTGGCATACACCACTTTATTTTAAAGTAAGCAAAGTAATACTTATAATTAATAATATATTTTTTTTTAAATTTAACTTTCCAATTTTAGGTCATATCTGTTTGGAATACTAATTTTGGTTTAATAATAGAAAGAGATTTAGGAAATATATCTATTGATATGACTGGAAAATCATTACCATTGCCTACAATTTATTCATTGAGTCAACCTTTAAAGGAAATATTACCATTATTTTTACTTAAACAAGGTGTTTACAACTAATTATCTAAACATATTATCATAATAAAAATATTTATAATAGTATTATTATAATATATATAAATCATGAAAAACTAATTTAAAAAAAACTAGTGTGTTTTATAAATAAACACAAATGAAGAGAAACTTCTATNAATAATAATAAAAAAGTAATAAATTATGTTTTATATTGTCATTTAAATATTGTATTTATATTGATTATATATATCTATTTATTTTAATTAATATAATTATAAAAATAAATTTATTTAATTTAAGTATAATATAAAATATATCTAGCACTATATTTTCAAAAATTAAAGTATTGTTGTTTAATGTGCAATAATTAATTTAATTCAAAATATATACAATTGTACATTTTTTTAAGAATTTATCTTATAAATTATTTATTTAATTTTAACAATTCATTTAAAATAAAAAATGCAGTGCATTTTTTTAAATTCACAAATTATAAATTTAAAGTATTAAGAATAAATTATTATTATTAAAAAGTAATGTATTAATTCGAAATAAATATTTTAATATTTAAAAACAAATTGTATGAATTTAAAGTTCAAAATATTTATTTATGTTATTATAAAATATTGCAAACATTCTTAGAACGTAAACATTAATCATACATATTTACTAATGCGCATGTTTATTGAACTTTTATGTTCATTGAACAATAAAATGTTTGACGAACATTAAAGTTCATAGAACAATATAATTTTGACTGGTATACTTAATAAACAATAGAATCTGTCCTTTACAATGTAATAAACTTTATTTTTCTGACACTTTGTAAAGAAGTTTCACTTCTAAAACTATTTTCTATGTGTTAACTAATAGTCTATTAATTTTAATAAATGATAAATTTAGGAAGTGTTTTACAGTATGCAAGGGATTGCTTAACCACAATAGTTTTTACAAGTACTGATTTAAATATTTGTCTAATGTATGATGTGTTAAGTGGATTGCACAGCGTATGGAAAATTAGAAAACCTACTAATGAAGTATGTAAAATTATTTGGCGATCTTAACAATAAAAAGTTGTTAAATTATATTTTTATAAATTATTTTAGGAATTTAATATAATGTGTGGACAGGATTCTATGTGTTCTACTACAACAAATCCATCTTATATACCAACTAATAGTAATCATGTTCACGCTTTGTCTAATTCTTTAGTGGCTGGTTCAGGGTTTTTAACTGAAAGGTATTTTAATTTGTTTTATTATTTTTATTATAACATTATTTATAATTTAACAATAATGGAATTAAATGGTGTTTGGGGATGTGATGTGTCGCAGTGGATTATTCAGTCACTGCCTTAGCATTGAGATCAAGCTGCCCTGTTTGCTGTTAGTTGCCAGATGGGTGACCATACAAAAACTATAATAATAACACACATCTTGTCTTCTTACTGGTTCCCTCGGCCATAATGAGGTTGTGTCAGGTTGACAGCTGAAAAACCCTGTCAATTCATTTTAAGGTAGATCAGTTCCCAAATGGTTAGGATAGAGACTAAGGAGATGATAATTTATTATTTAATAATCTTTTGTTATAACTTAATTAATGAAAATATATATATATATATATGATTACATTGTTTCCAATAAATGGTTCCAAAAAATGATTAATTTTTTTTAAATAAAATATAATGTGTCTCTAATTAAAATTATATTTAAAATAAATTGAAATTTTATTATCTTTTTTAGTAGTAACTTAAAAACTTAATATCATGACTTTATAAATATTTATTTACAAATGTTATTATAAATAATTGAAATCAAATTCTAGGGTAACCCATAATCATCCAGTAAATTCTAGCCCTTTCACATTTAACAGTAGACGCAGCACACCAAATATTATGTCACCTTTTAATACAATGAGTCCTATGACTGGAGTAAGGTAAATTATAATATTTATTAATAACTACCTAACCAAATAAATAATTTAGTACACTAATTACTTAGCCATTACAATTCACTTGTATGGAATAGCCCTTCAAATACATCAAAACGCAGTTGGCGACCTAATACAACAATCACAGCTAATAGTCAAATATATAATACTCCTTCATCAATGTCTCGCATTGCAAATGCTAGACTTGGTCATGGCAGTATGTATGTTGGAGATAATAATTCAAAACCCGTTAGTCCAGATATTTGTCTTGAATATTTATGGACTGAAAATGATGGAAATAAAGGGTGTGTGTTGTTTTTATTAAAAATCTTTGATTAAAAATAAAAAAATTAAATAAAGTACATCTATATTTTATAAGACATCAAGAAATGAGTGCTGCTACCAAAGTATTTGTTGCTGCCAATTTTGTGAAACAACATTTTTTATGTTATCTTATTCCTTCTAAGAGCCAATTAATATTTGTTGAGATGGATGGACTTGAAAATAATGATATTTCATTAAGAAATTTATCATTTGTATCTGCCAAAGATGCTGCTTATTTATCTGTAAATAAATTATACAATTATTGTTGCTTAAGTTTTTATATAGAAAGACCAACAAATTTTTGTTAACTACATTTTTTAGTCATTAAAATTAATTGTTCTTATGGATTGTCAAAACAGTATAACATTGTACTCTGGAGTTTTAAAAATTGGATCTGTTCAGTTGGGTAGTATGTATTCAGTATTTGATGAGAATACTTCTTACTTTACTGCCACAAATAAATCAACCACTGGTACTCCTTTAATGAGGTGAGAATTAAAACAATATAATTTTTCTACATTCTTAATAATTTTATAAATAATATTTATTTTTATAAATTTCAAATAACCCTTTCAACTTATTTGTAAAAGAATGTTTATATATATATACATTTTTCTTTTTTTTAATTTCATTTTTAATTTTGATATACAATCCTTTTATTTAAACTCAACACTATTAAATTCATTGACTGATTGTTAGCATTTAGTTTTATCAAATGTTGGTTTATATTGTTTGAACAGCCGTAAAAGCTTGTTGAGCTCCACTAGAAATGAAGACTTGCAACATAATATCAACATTAATAACTTTATGCCCTACTGTGAAAATGAAACTCAATTAATGATACCCAGTGAAACCAATTGTTCAGAATCTGTAATTAATTGTTTTAAATCAAAGACAGACATAAAATACTTAAGAGATCCAATAGAGTCACGTGTGACATTAGTATGTACAATATTTGTTTATAATATATTCAAAATATGATTAAATTTAAAAATAATAAAAACTAAATATACATAATTGTTAAGTTATTAAAATGATAACATAATAAAGTTAATTTTTTAGGTTCATCTTGATGGAAGTATGATCCGAGTTGAATTTCCAGTTATAAGTTCATCACCATTAGGTTTGTTAAATCTTACATGTTACTAAAATATTTTAAACAATTTTTCATTTTTATTTTAGTTTCTAAATGCTTGAAAACATTACAAAATATACTTGAAAAATCTGTTGTTATGGAACTAATGGCCAAATGGTACACTATAAGAAATGCCCCTGGGTCTCAAAATATAAGTGGTCATGAAGAATGGATCTTATTTTTAAGGATGATTCTTAAACTTCTAGGATATAATATAGAAGCACTACCTTTAACTTGTGATTCATTAAACGCTAATAATGATACTCCAGCTAAATCAAAAAAACAAAGAATTTTAGATATTGGTAGTGATGAAGATTGGACTTACATGTTAAAATCTTCATTTAGTCGTTCTCGAGGAAATAATATTGCACTTTCCTTGGGTCTCAAAAATAAAATTGAAAAATATACCAATCATGAACTTAGTGATGATTCTACTTCAAAGTATAGCATTGATATCAATGCTTTACTGTTTCCACATATTTATAACATTATATTCGCACTTCATTTAGTGTATGAAGTATGTTTAATGTTTTTACTTATAATCGTAATAGTATTATTCAAGAATCTATATTTCAATCTAAATTATACTTATTATTAATACTTTAACTGACTCAATTCTGAAGTATGAAAGTACTAAAAATTTACTATTATAACTTACCTTAGAATAAATTTGAAATTCTTATAACAATTATAATTTTGAAGTTGTGTCTTAGTTTTCTCAAATAGTGAATATAATTTGCAATATTATTAAAAGTTCATTTAGATAAAAGTATTGGGTTTTCTTACTAATAACTTTACATATTTTGTTTACTAAGTTGGCTTTTAAATTCAGTACGTTCAATAAATATGATATCTCTAATAAAAAAATTTATAACTTTATACCTATCCATTTATGTTTAATTTAATTTTTATTTTTTAAGGACCTTAAACTAAATACTTTGAAGTCTGATTTGTTACCATTAATCGTAGAACTGTTGCACCAATTAGCTTCAGATTTAAAACTAGAAGAATATGTTTATTATTATTGGAAAGATTTTCCACTACTCTGTAATAGAGAAAAAATAATTCAAGTACTAAAATTCTTTGTTTATTATTCAATAAACTTCATGATAATTGAAAATTTTTAAATATGATTTCAGTCAAGACAAATAAGGGATGTCGATGTTAGAATGCTTAGTGTTCCATCATACTTTAAAGAAAGTCCACCTAATATATTCAAAACTTGTTACTTACTAATAAAATACTATACAGCTGATCCATATCCTTGTTTACAAAATGTTAATAGAAGATCCAAAAATATAATTCAGGTAATAAATTGATACAGTTATTATATTATAAGTTTTTATCAGTTATTTTTATATTGTAAAATACAAAAAATTTTCTAAAGCAAATATTTTAGGTAAAATTTAATTTTTAGCAAGTTCAAATTACTATTAAATTTTTTTACAGATTTATGGATTGCTTTGTTTGAAAAATAAATCTAAATTAGAAGCTATTACTGAATTTTTAAATCCTTTAAAAATAAACTTAAATAATCAAGATTCTGTTATATATGAAAAATTAGACATGAAATCACGTGTGTCTAAATATTATCAAGCTACACTTTTTATGTCTAAAATTGGTATATTTATTTTACGTTATTGTATAATAATTTAATTTTTAAATTATATATTTTATGATTTTTTTTTTAGGTGTCACACAACAAACATTGCTAACATATCCTCCTGGTATAGCAATGCTATTATGTGATGTTATTAATAAATGTAGAGAAAATCCACCAAGTAACTGGCCAAAATCTGCTTATGACCTAATTATGCGCGAAGATTTAGCCTCTCAAAACTTAACAAATTTCCATACAATCAATGAAAAAAAAAAAACTATTAATGTGGAAAAATTAATTAATTGGGGTGAAACTAGTGAAGTTGAAAGTGGTGTTATTAAAGATGGAATGGAAAATCTTGATACAGATGTAAAATATACTTGGAATATATATTAAAATGTCTAATTTTGATATAATTTATTAAATTTTTAGGTAATGAAACTTTTATGGAATAAAGATCACCGTATTACTGATGTACGGAACTTTCTTCAATCTTGTCATCCGGTAACTATTGGTATTAAACAACCTCCAGAAGCAAGTGATCATGATTTTATCGAGGAGCAAGAAAAATATTTGTACTCAATATGTTCAAGAACTATGGCTTTACCTATTGGAAGGTTAATGCATAATTTTTTTATATTAAATGTTGACTTATAAATAATATATTGTTTAAAAAATTATCTCTATAACTCAAAAATCTTTTAATAGTTATAACTTAACTTTTCTTAAGTTTAAAAAATTATTTTGATTTTTATGGTTATTTAAATTTTATTATTTATTTAGAGGTATGTTTACTATGAGATCTATTCAGCCTGTAGTTACTGAGCCACTTCCTTTGCCAAAATTATGTTTGTCCGGAAAAACTCCTCGTGGTGCTGCAGTTGAGCTTAGTCATATAGATGTTGTTCCAAATATGAATCTTTGGCCTTTGTTTCACAATGGAGTAGCTGCAGGCTTACGTATTATGCCATCAGCTGATAATATTGATTCAACATGGATTTTATATAACAAACCTAGAGTGAGTTACTCTAAAATATAAATTAAACCATAAAGTTCCATGTAAATTTTCACTAATGATTTGTATCAAACAATAAAAAATACTCAATGAGATTTTTCTTGGTTTCATTTAAATTTTTAATAATTTATGACTACAAGTTTACTTAAATAATATTTTTTTAATGCTTGTTTATTAAAAAAATACTTCATGATAAATTTTAAATTTATAAAAATAAAATTATATTATAATAAAAATATTCAAATTAAAAAATATAATAATAATATACTTTGGTTTGTCCCATTTAATAAATAAAAATAGGTTTCTAGCTTCTCAGCTGATTTTTCCATTTCAATAATTTTATGTTCTTTGTCAGAATATTTGATAGTAGTTTTACAAAAAAAATTATATAATATATATTATAGTAATATTACATTGAGTGTTCAGTATGTTAGGAAACTGGTTTATATTATTCTCATTGTTTGTATCAGTTGACCTGTTTGCTTACTTTTTGAACACCTATATAAAAATAATATAATACATTTTATAATAAAAAAATAAAAACGTTTAGATTTGTAAATATTAATAAAAATAATTTCAGTGATTTTTTTGTTAATTAGTTTTTATAAATAGTATTAAATGATATGTTATATTAAAGCATAATTTGTATATTGTGTAGAATGGAGCTGATGCATTACCAGAACACGCAGGTTTTCTTATGGCATTAGGTTTGAATGGTCATATTACTAATTTAGCTACTATGAATACATATGATTACTTGAGTAGACCTCATGAAATGATAAGTGTAGCTCTGCTTATTGGTTTAGCAGCAGCTAAAAGAGGTATCTAATGTATTTTTAGACATTTTTATATAAAATTATTTTTACCTAAAAATAACACTTGCATTAATGTTATAATATTTGATACAGGTACAATGGATACAGAAATAACACGTATGCTATGCATATTCATTGAATCATTACTGCCTCCTACAACAATTGAGCTAGATATGAGTCAAAATCTTCAAATAGCAGCATTATTAAGTATTGGTTTATTATACCAGAAAACAGCCCATAGGCACATTGCTGAAGCACTTTTGTCTGAAATTGGCCGTCCACCCGGTCCAGAAATGGATAACAGTATAGATAGAGAATCATATTCCTTAGCTGCTTCACTTGGTCTTGGTTTAGTTGTTTTAGGAAAAGGTTCTGATGTAGTTGGTCTTAGTGATTTATCTATTGCTGACATGTTACATTACTATATGGTTGGTGGACATAAAAAACCGTTAACTGGTAAGTAAAATAAAGATTTAGGATTAAAACTTAAACTAAGCAAGACTGGGCTTCTTTGAGACTTAGGACCCATGATTGGTTTATGTAGGAGTTATTTATGCGAGAAATGTACATACCTTTCAAAATGTATTCTAAAAGGGAAGTTTCACCCTTACCCGCTGTGATGATTTTATTTCAATTAGGAGGAGGGTTTATGCCTCAATACTTGAGTATACCTGTACTTTAAACAAATTTTATACAATGAATGCTATTATTACTTTTATATATTTATTTTGTGTATACTTAAAAAAAATATGGTTGTGTCCATAAAATAATTAGCACCTTATTAGTGGTTAATTTTACAATATTTTTTACTTATTTTGGATATCCAAGGCTTAATTTTGAACTGTGAAATAGTTTAATTTTAAATTACTTGTATAGTGGATTTAATTTATCTGTTTAGGTGCACAAAAAGATAAGTATATTAATCCAAGCTACCAAATAAGAGAAGGTGAAATGGTCAATATTGATGTAACTTCAAGAGGTGCCACATTGGCATTAGGAATGATGTATTTTAAAACTGGTAATTTGTGAGTAATTAAATTGAATAACTTTTATGCAAAATAAAATAATTTTTGAAAAAATCTATATTTTTAAGAGCTGTAGCCAATTGGATGAGCATTCCTGACTCTCCTTACTTGTTAGACTTCATTAATCCTGAATTTATATTACTCAAAATGTTAGCTAGAGGATTAATTATGTGGGATTATATAGTACCTACAAAAGAATGGATTGAAAGCTTTGTACCTCAATCAATTCAGCAATATTGTTTAGTAAAGCCAAAACCAGGAATGGCAAATCCTGATCTTGAAACTATTAAGTAATGATAAGTAATTTAGAAAATTATTATTGTTTGAAAAATAACTTTTTTTTTTTTTAGTCAAACATACTGTAACATAATAGCTGGTTGTAGTATGGCAATGGGTTTGCGTTTTGCAGGAACTGCTAATGATGAAGCTTTCAAAACTCTTTTATCATATTGTCAAATGTTTATATCATTGTGCAGTAAGTCAGTCGCTGAACTTTGTGGGAAGTCAACCATTGAAACTTGCATCAATGTTACTCTGCTTTCATTAGCAATGGTAAATATTTAAAGAAATTAATTAAATAATTAAATAATTATTAATAAGAAATTATTAATAATAATTTTCTATTATTCTTGATTAATATTAAATTAAAAAAAAAAAAAATTGTCTATTATCTGACACCTGAGGCCATATTTATCAATTAGGTACTATTAATATTATGAATTTACTTCCTGCATCACTCATATTAAAATTATTTAAAAAAATGTTTTTTCAGTTAGGCCAAGGACCTACAAATAACTTAACTGGCCCCGCTAACATCTACATTTGCCTTCTCTCCATTTTTTTTTTTTAAAGTGTAACTTAAATATTTTAATGACATCAATTTTAAACACATGAAAATCTATACTTATGAATCATATTTTACATCAAAAATTTTGCCGAAAGTCAAAATTTAACAGTTAATAATTATTAAATTGCATACATTATTTAAATCATTATATTTATTGAATAAACAAATTCAGCTAATACAATATTAAAACATTCTATTAATTCAATTAAATTCAATCTTCTATATTTCTATTTAGGTTATGGCTGGAACAGGGGATTTGGAAGTATTACGAATATGTAGATTCTTAAGATCAAGAGTTAGCTCCTCGCCTCTTAGTGTTATTACTTACGGCTCACATTTAGCCACTCATATGGCATTGGGACTATTGTTTTTAGGTGGTGGAAAATACAGTCTTTCTACTACACCTGAAGCAGTTGCTGCATTAATTATTGCATTTTATCCACAATTTCCAACTCATAGTAATGATAATAGGTAAGATAAAGATGTTTTTATATTTTTACACTATCATAAATAGTATAATTCTGACTTACTATAAAAATGTTTAGGTACCACTTACAAGCTTTTCGACATCTTTACATTTTAGCTACTGAGCCTAGGTTAATAATACCTAGAGATATTGATTCTGGAGATTTATGCTATGTTCACTTAAAAGTGGTTTTTTTGGATACTGAATATTATAAAAACCAATTTTATACTATAAAAGCTCCATGTTTATTACCAGAATTGTGTTTGCTTAAAGAAGTATGTGTTGAAGATGAAAGATATTGGTCAGTAGTATTTGAACGTGAACGAAATTGGGAAACTCTTAGGTAATATTTTATTAATGACATTACTTTAAAAATGAATGAATATTTTTAGCTAATTTTCAGGATCATAAAAAATGCTTCAATGCAAATCTGTTAAATTTTTTGTTGAAATGCACTATTTCAAATTAAATAACTCATAAAAAGAATATTTTCGGGAAATTTTCCTNTAAAAATGAATGAATATTTTTAGCTAATTTTCAGGATCATAAAAAATGCTTCAATGCAAATCTGTTAAATTTTTTGTTGAAATAGTGCATTTCAAATTAAATAACTCATAAAAAGAATATTTTCGGGAAATTTTCCTTTTTTTTCGTCATGAAGTTCTCTAAAAAGCTTAATTTGATATATATTTCGGTTTTTCAGACGATTTAGAACATTTTGAAAAATTTTAAATAAAGTTATATATTATTGTAAAAATTGTGAAATTTTAAATATTGTAATACACTATAGGTTTATATTTATATAGTTTAATTAGGATAGACACAAACATTTTCCAAATGTGTTGAAAACAAATTTTTTTACATAAGTGGGTAGTCTCTTGCAAACCTTTCTTTTTCTTTTTTCATTAAATCTTCATAGAAAAACATACCCAAAGAAAGTCTATTGTCTCTAGTACATTTTATTAAAATATCATTAGGATCAGTGTTCTTTTTATAAGTTATAGCAATTTTAAAATGTACAAAAAAAATTTTGAGAAAACCATTTTTTTTACAAGAATGTAATTTTTAAATATATTTCTAAATTTCAAAAATTGTGGTGTTTTTCTCAAAATTTCAATGATATGTTTGAAATAGATTAAAATCGGGTTCTTTTAATGCATAGACCAATAAAATGGATCGAGAGTTGAGAATTTACGTCAGTAGACATAGTAAACCTTCTCAGCTTTGCATTGAAGCTAATATATTCAGTTGTATACCAGTGTTTATAAACTTTTTACCACGACAAAACCTCTAATTGAATTTTATTTTCTTAGTGACCCATCTTAAACATTATAACACCTATGATGGGTGCCACTAAAAATTATTATAAATTAATTAATCATATTTTGGAGACCCTTAATAATTAATTTGTGACTCCTAGTTGAAAAATAAACTGGTCTATGATAAACTTGCTATTTTAAAAATATTCCTTTGAAGTATATTTTAACTATTTCTAACTAACTTATATTATATGTGTGTAATTAAAAATGCGTAACAAAAATATAAACTTTAATCAATTTATTTTTAATATAAAATGTTTAATTAATTTAGAACCATGCTAAATAATGTGAAAACTTTAAAAGTAAAACATAAAGCTGGACATTTATCTTATACAGAAGACCCAAATGGTTACAAATCATTAATGGCCCAAACTCATTCATCCAACGATTTTACATCATGGTCTATTTCTGTGAGTATATAAATTTAAATATCATAATAACAAATTATTAACAAAATAATAATATAATAATCTTTTCAGCCTGAAACTATATATGGATTTTCATCTGATCCAAAAATTGTTCAAATGGTGCGATATTTTTTAAATTTGTCTAATGATACACTTAACAACATGCCAAAAAAATCAGTAATAAGACAATATGCGCAGATATTATTCAATTCTGTTGTTCATGATAAAGTATTCATACTGCCCCTCTGGATGACAATAATGAAAGTAAGAAAAAATTGAATTTTTCATATAATTTGGTTATTATATGTATTATTTTTTATATTCAGATTTTAAATAATTTTCCTCAACCACCAAGTAGTTATTTTTGTTGGCAAATAAAACTATTTGTAGAATCTGCCTACACTAAAGCATGTCGTGAACCACATTCTAATAGTAGACCAAAATTAATTTCACCTCTGGTCGCCATGTCAATAGAAAATATGTGTGAAACTATTATTTCAGATTGGGAATCAGGTATTAAATTATTTTAATATTTACATATCTTTAATAACTTTTTATTCAACAAATATTTTACATTACTTTTTTTTTAATAATTTTTACAGTTTTTAACTATTATAAAAGTATATTTTTTATAATTTGTCTCTAATAAAAAGAAAAAATATATATATATATTTTTTTTAATAGGGCGGGACACTGTATGTATGTGTGATATTATAATAAAATCTAATTATATATTTTATTAAAATTTGACAGATGATGGAGTTACAGTTAAAAAATGTTGGGACACAACTTTAAATGATGTTTCAAATATCAAATTGATTAAAAGTGCCTACTGTTCGTTATTAGATATCCCTTTCAAATCAAAAATACCAAATTCAGGTAAACTGATCACATTTGTTCAATATAATTACTATCCTAAGTATTTATAATAATTACAGTCAATTATTTTTATAGCTTTCATGTCGCCATTGGCAATGTATGCAAGTACCAGAAATATGTACTTATCAACAGAATCAATTAATAAGTTATGTTCACAATAATTTTTAAAATCAGACGTTTTACATTTTTTAAGTTTAAATAAAACAATATTTATACATTATTGCAGTTTTTTTTTTAAGATTTCATAATGATATATATTCTTAGATTTAATACCTACTATCCAAACATTAGATATATTTTCTAATAAAAGTTTTATAACATTTTATTATCCTGAAATGAATGGCAAGGAAAACATTTATTAATAAATACAGGAGCCGTTGATTCCTCAAGTCTTTAAAGGTTCATTGAAGAAAATGTAAAAAAAATCACTACTTTATTCGAGATTGGCTCTAACATACATGGGCACCAGAACTTCGCATTGATACCCAACTACTCTAACTTTTATAATGCGAAAAAATTAATTTTTATGCCTATACTTCAGTTTTTAAAATGCTAATCTAAAATTACATTTTTTTTTTGTGTACTATTGTAAGAAATTTTAAAATGAGCAACAATAAATAAAAATATATTTTCACTCCTTAATTTTACTTTTTAAGTTCAACAAAAATTAGATAATAAAAATGGAATTACAATTTTGAGCAGATTCAACAATCTTAACTAACAAAAATAATATTCCTAGCCATCCAAATGGACTTAATAGACTACTGATAATAATTTCGCTTTGCCTTTTATTAAAAATGAATTTATGATTTCAATAAATTACCATGTAATGAGATGTAAAATAAACAAAAATTTAATTGACTATGTTACAAAGAGACATCAATTTAATTTTGATACAAATGTTTTTATTCAACGGGAATCGATTGGACATGCGTATCAAATGATTGCCAACATACCCATTAGCAGTATATCATGATTATTAGAGTAGATCTCGGCAATCATTCGTTAGACATACCTATATATTTCGTCATGCCACCAAGTATTATCTTACATTCTTATTAATCGACGCTAAGTCTTCAGCTGGGCAATATGCGTTAACTGATTACAATACATATTTATTATTCTGTGCGATAATTTTTACTATTATTATTCAATTAGATACAACTTAATTGTATAGGGATATATTATTCTGATTCTGATAACTAAAATGATATTTTTTTAATTCTTTTTTGGATTACTAATTATCAATTTTCTTTATTTCAATTTCTCATATTATTATTATAATTAAATTATTTAATGTTTAATTGCATTTATATTTTATTTAAAATTGTTTAGTTTACTTATTATTTATTGAATACTAGAAAAAGTATATTGCAGTAAGTGAGTAAGATTTAAGATAAAATGGTTCATATTATTCTATTATGTTATTTGTAACATTATTATGTTGTATTACATTAGTTATGGAGTGCAGTTTAGCATCAACTTATGCCAATGGTACAACTAAACCATCAAAATCAATATCTGAAAATAGAAGTCCTGCAAAATCAGGTCTTCATGTGAATTTTACAGAAAAAGTTGAAGTTAAGGAAAAACGTGAAAAGTTTTTGACAGCTAAATATGGTGCTCATCAGATGAGTTTGATTAGAAAACGGTTAAATGTTGAAATGTGGCTCTTAGAAGAACTTCAAAAACTTTATGACCTGCCAATAGTAAGCCATATTTTAATATTTAAGTGAAATTTCCTGATTTTAAGAAATTTTTTTTATTTTCTCAAAATTAATATTAAATGTTTATTATCAATCATAGAAATATAATTATTTTAAAACTTTTATTTTGGTTATGTTCTCAATTTTATAAACAATGCACCTAATTATTATCAAAGTTATTTTACTTTGTTTATTGTATTTTTATAAAAAATGAGATGAGATGAAATCCAATATCTTTTGTTAGTTTGTTTTCATCTAACTTTTTGGTATCATCAGTTTTACGTCAAATTAGTGAAATTTGAACTCAATAGGTCATTAACCTTTATAAATTTAACTATTACAATCATTGCAGTTGATAAACTCTTAATAGTTATTCTATGTGGCTTATGTAATTGAAAATAAATATAAGTATAATTACTTAAATTTTTGATTAAATATCTTATAAAGTAAATCCTTTTCTTCAATTAACTAAGGTTAAATTTATTGTATCGTTGTATTTAATCGATTAAACAAAATTGAAAGAGTTTTTTTGTTTATCATGTATAATAAAACTTTAAAACTATAATTATGATCCTTAATCCTTTAATAATGCTAGTAGTCATTACAATTTATGTAAAATATTTATTTTGTTGAAAAAGATTATGTTATTTTTATTTCAAGCTGCTTTCATTAAAAACTGTTCCTAGATTTTAAAACAAATAAGAAAAATAATTTTTAAGTCATCTATGCATTTTTATATAGAGAGCAATGAATTATGATGTGTTCATTTAAGAATTGTGTTTAGTATGTGATGCATAATAGTCGAATTATTAATTAGGTATGAATGGTTCAAGTAGTGCAAAGTGGTTTGAAATGCTTATCCTTTGATTGATTTATACTCTTAGTTACTGGCTCACTGTTTTTACTATTAATTAAATTAAATTGTGCTAAGAAATTGTCTAGTTATGTTAAATATAGTACCATAGATCATTTAACTTAGCACACAGCATTCATAAAAAATAGAATTATAAGTCTAAAAATATACTGCATCAATGTGTTTTATTTTAATTACAAAACTATAATGCATTCTAAATCATATTTGTATGTTGCACATAATTATATTTTGTGTATTTCTACCTAATAGAGCTATGTCACTTTAACTTGCTTGCAAATTTGTTGATGTATTACTGAAAAATAATCTACTATTAATATATTTTTTTTAAATCTCAAAACTAATAAGAACTTTCGACAGTTAGGATTTTACTATTCATTTGGTACTAAATGAGTACCTAATAATTAATTTAAAATTTGCTCATACAATTTCACATTTTTCCTTCTGCTTATTTTGCATTTCAATTTTCTTATTCGCTCTTTTATATACTAATTAAAAGAAAAAAATTATAATAAAACAATTGTTGATGACCAATATACAAAAATATTAATACTTATGAAATTAATTTCACTTATTAATACATAAATATATTTCAAACATATAGATTATATGTGGTTCTTATTTTTCTACAATTCTCATAAAATTTATTAATATCTATCAAGTTCAATAAATTAACAACTTAAATGAATTTCTATAGGGAAGTATTAGTGTTTGCGACTCTATGAATTTATACAGTTTATTTCATCATCTCGACTATATCAATAATAAATAGTTATTCATATTAGTTTTTCTTAACTCTAATAATATATATTGATTAAAAATTTAGTCTTGAGATGCATGGGATCACTTACCCTAAAACAAAACCTTTCCTGTGATACTGTATTTTTTATTTACTTTTGACTTAGGATAAATTTTTATAGGATTATCACAGAAATAGAAAGAAATTTTATAAATACATAAATTTCTAAACCCTAATGATTATAATTATGAATGAATTATTTTTTATTTTTTACATTTATCTTATTTTAAAACTAGATTGTACTTTTTTCTTAGTGACTTAAAAAATTAATATTATAGGTGACTAGAGAATACTATAAGTCTTGCAATCTTTGGGGTTCACTAAATACATTTTTTCTATGTTAATTATTTAAATACACCACAAAGGTTATGTAAAAATAGTAATTTCATTCAAATAATATAATAGAAAATTTATTATACTCATAAAAATTTTCAGTTATACTTTTGACAAACTCCATAAAAAAAATTTGAGGGACTGGGTTAATTTGTTTTGATTAGGATTTCTAAATAATCTCGAATCCCTATATTTACAAAAAATTAAATACGATGTTTTGTTTGCATTGTAGATTGAATATTTTCTTTTAAAATTTCTTTGTTTAAATCGCTTAGTCATAAAATGTTCAAGATATATTCTATGTCTATTTCTATAAATATAATTAGTGTAGGATGTTGTCATTTATGTCATCTCCGCGATTGTTGATTTTTAAAGAACCGAAATAGTATGTTGCCAATGCGACCTACTAAGCTGCTATTAAAATATATCACAAGATTTCGCATCTAGAACAAAATTATTGTAGGGGAAACCGAAAATAAGTATTAGGGAGATTTACGTAGTGTTTTAATAAATATGATTGTTATCAATATATTTTATTTCGAGTTAGATCTTGTTCGTAATATTTTTACTAACTTAATAGTAAATTAAATTGTTGAATAGCTCACACGAACTGTTGGAAAATTATCATCGCGTTTTTTAATATAACATCAAATATTTTTACCAAATATATATATTTATGTATATATATATTTTAATTACTTAATTGCAAACTTATGACCTAACTGTGGAAGGACGGCTATTTACGAAATTGTTAGTTATCCAGTAAATAAAGTTGTTACGTCCATTAATTATCATGATACTTTACTCTAAGTATTGATATCCCATATACATTTTAATCGATTAATTATAATATTAAATGTGTCAACTTTTGATATGTAATAAATATTTATTTTAAGTAGATTTTTTTCCAAAACTTTGTCCAATATCTAGTCTTTATCTGCAATTTACGAGGCCCCATATGAAAAAAATTCTAAGATCTTTATCGATGACGCGATAAATATGTTTAAATTCTTTTTCTTTTGTTTGCAATACGTAAAATAACGGTACTAATAACCCCAACGGGGCCCCTGACTATCTTCTTATATGTCGCCGTTAGAAATGATTAAGATTGTTGAAGCATTAAGTTCCTCCTAACTTTACCCAGTGGTGTTTGGGGGGGGGAGTATACGGCGTATACCATTAACATTTTTTTAATTAACATATACCCTAGAAAAATAATACTTAAGTGTTAATTAAATTGAAGGGTATACGTTGATTTGTGAGTGTATACATAATAGTGCATTTCTTTTCTTTGAAATGACCGTATGTTCATCGAGTTTATAGAGTTATGGTACAAATTTTCCTATACTCATCAGGTATTCAATAGCTCTTTTTTACAATACATAAACTCGTAATCATTTTAGTCCCTCTCCCTTAAAAATATGTTTTTGAATAAATAAGTCTCCAAAAGATTTATCGGATTAAAATCTAGAGAAGTTAAGCTGTTACCAAGAACTTTATGATGAAAAATAATTTATTATTAAAATTATAAATATGAATTATCATGAATCTTCTTCGTCTACCTTACCTTTATTCCAACTATTTGGGATTAGCTACCCGTATACTAAACCTCCATTTGACACGATCCTCCACATCAGAAGTCCTCATATCACTCCCAATTACATCCAACCACTACATGTTTTTCCTTCGGCATTAATTTCCATAATCGTTCTTATAGCTTCCGATTTCTTTTTTTTTATAATATGACCAAACCATCGAAGCCTATTTTCTCTCATCTTGCCAAAAACCATTTTACATGCTTCTCTTTACATATTCATTTCTTATTCTATCATTTCTCATCACTCCACTCATCCATCTAAGCATTCTCATTTCTACTACATCTTCTGCTCTAATTTCTTGTCAACTGCCAACATTCTGGCTAGTACAATATAGTTGGTTTCTATTACAGTCTCCTAAAACTTACCTTTTAGCCTTATTAAGATACTGTTATCGCCAAAACGCTTCTCTCCACTTGATCCACCCGCATTTAATACTATATATTACATTCTTGTCAATCCCCCGTTATTTTACAAATGATTCTAAATATTGGAAAATTTCGACCTCATCTATCACGTCCTTGTTTATTATCATGACTTTCCTCGTTTAATCGTGTTCTTTTCGTTAAACTCATACTCTATATATTCCATCTTCTACTAATTCTTAATCCCTTATCCTCGGGGGCAATCTCCACATCTTAAGCTTTTGGTAAACTTCCTTCCTATTTTCTCCTATTAACATTATTATTACAAAACAACATCCATCATGGTACATTTCCACGATAATTTCATCAATAACTATAGAAAATAGATAAGGACAAAAAGCAGAAACTTGGTGCACACCTAATTTTACTCTATTATCCTGTTTCTCCATGAATACTTTTTACCTTAGTGCAAGTGCTTTCATATATATCTTCTATTTCATCAATATATATTTTTGGTACTCTTTTCATTAATGAGCACTTTAAATCTCTCTTGGCACTCAGTCATGCACCCTCTTCAAATCTATAAACACCATACAAAGGTTTTCTTCTTCTCTCTATACTTTTTGTTAGCCTGTCTCAAAATTAATTATTCATGAAAATTTATTTAAATTCTAAACATTTTGTCTAGTCAATAAATTTGATTGTTAATGACTTAAGACCGATCAAAATTATAATTCAATTAAATTAGCTACTTTTGGTTGTGAACTCCGTGTGTTCTTTCCAGCTTTTATTAAAGACCCAGTTGGGTCTTAATTTCAATGGCAGAGTTAAAGTCAAGAGTAAAAAAAATTTTGTATTAAAGGGCATATTGCTTTTTGCTATCTATTTGTTATTTCCATGTTTTTATAAAAAATTTTAATATTATTTTAATGTAGTATTCTAAAATCTTATATAACTTTAGAGGGATCCTGCTGTAGAAGGTATAGAGTGCGAAGTTGAAATTGACATTGATGATTTATTAGACATGGAAAATGATTGTCAGCGTACACAATTTCTTCAAGTATTTATTTTTTAATTTAAATAATTTAATTTTAATCATTAATATAAGTGAAACTTTTACTTTAGGAGCTGCTATCAAATGCAAAGTCTAAAGAAAATGTTAAAGTAAGTTATAAACTATTGTTCATTAACCAGTCTTGTAAAAAATGCTTTTTTTTTGTTTTTATATAATACTTATTCTAAGAAATTGTTGAAAAGCTATTTAGAATATATATTTGAAAAGTAATAAAAATGCATTTTCAATATATATTTGTAAGCACTTTCAAAAATGATTCTAATACTTTGAGTTTTTAAAAAAATAATAATCTATTTAATATAAAATAAATATTACAGTTATGAAATATAATTTTTATAAATACTCTAAATTATATTTATAATCAAGAAATTAAATCTATATATTATACTAAGTACACTTCTATTCCACAATAGTACAATTGAGCACTGGACAGTTTTATGCTAAGTTTTATTAAAGGACTAGGTTTTTTATAANATTGAGCACTGGACAGTTTTATGCTAAGTTTTATTAAAGGACTAGGTTTTTTATAAAACAAGATTAAATAAACTAAAATAGTTGCTAATTTAAATATATTTTGAGTCAAAAAATTATAAAAATAAAAGATAACATTAAAAATACAATAGATGTATAAATAATTCAATTTTAATGATAAGTTAATGTAATTGACATACTGGACTTTTAATAAAAAATTTTCTATTCCATGATAATTCAATATTATTGGCACTAGCAATAATAAAAACTTTCAACAACTATTTTTTTAATTTGATTTTATTTGATTGACCAGATATCAGGGATTAGATATTTTTGTCAAATGAACATATACATTAAAAATTTGTTTATTTATGAATAGTTTACTTGCAATCTATACAATTATCCATTAATATAAACTTTTTAATAAATATTAATTCTTTACGAAAAATATATTGAAATCATACCTTCAGTGGAATAATTGATTAATGTTATTGGAGGGCATATTCTTCTTCTTCGGCTCAATCCCAATTACTTGGGGTCGGCCACCCTTATCCTAAACTTCCACTTGACACAATCTCCCACATCATCTACGCTCACATCAGCTGCCCTCGTATCGCATTCAGTAGCATCCCTCCATCTCTTTTTTGATCTTCCTCTACCTCTTCTTCCTTCAACATTTATTTCTATAACTGTTCTTACAGCTTCCGATTCTTCTCTCCTCATAACATGACCAAACCATCTAAGTCTATTTTCTCTCATCTTATCCAAGATTGAGGTTACACCTATACTCTCTCTTATATGCTCGTTCCTTATCCTATCTTCTCTAGTCATTCCACTCATCCAACTAAGCATTCTTATCTCTGCTACACTCATTCTCTGCTCTACTTTTTTATCAAACGTCCAACACTCTGAACCATACATCATGGCTGGCCTTATTACAGTCTTGTTGAATTTACCTTCCAGCCTCATTGGAATTCTTTTATCGCACAAGACGCCAGACGTTTCTTTCCACTTCAACCACCCACATTTAATCCTACATCTTACATCCTCTTCAATACACTCCTCTTTTGCACAACTGACCCTAAATACTTAAAACTTTCTACTGCTCTAATCACGTCCCGCCTATTGTCACTGATCTCCTTATTTCACTTACCTCGTGTTTTCCTTTGTCAAACTTGTACTCTATATCTGTCTTACTTCTACTAATTCTTAAACCCTTTTCTTCAAGAGATGATCTCCACACCTCTAGCCTTTGATTAATTTCCTCCTATTAACACTATATTGTCAACAAATAACATGCACCACAGCACCTCTCCTTGTATTTCTCTAGTAATTTCATCCATCACTATAGAGAATAAGTAAGGGCTTAAAGCAGAACCTTGGTGCACTTCTACTCTTACCCGAAAACCTTCTGTTACTCCTTCTACGCTTTTTACGCTGGTACAAGTGCCATCATACATATCTTCTATTATATTATTGTACCTTTTTTAGGACTCCTTTTCTCATTAATGCCCACTTTAATATCTCTATCGGTACTCTATCGTACACTTTCTACAAATCCATAAATACCATACACAACTTTTTCTTCTTTTCCCTAAACTTTTCTATTAGTTACCTCACACAAAATACTGGCTCCATTGTTGACTTACCAGGCATAAATCCAAACTAGTTTTTAGATTCCGATGTCTCATTTTTTATTATCTTACCTATTACCTTTTCCCAAATTTTCATACTAATTTGAGGGCATATTAATAAGAAAATTTTTAATTACCCTAAAACCAAAAAAGAATATTGTATCTTCATCATGTAAATATTTTTGTTCTTGGCAATTCTCTTAATTATGCCCCTGTATATCTTAAGATTAAATACTTCAATTTAGGATATAGATACATGAATAGTTTATCTACTATATAC